ACCTTGTGGTTAACAGCCACACGCTCTAACCTGCTGAGCTACGGAACCATGCGAATTCAGCTTTTTTGTTTTTCTTTGCAGTAATTTCAAGAAAAATTATCTCTGAAAAAGAATAATAAGCATAATAAGGGTTTTAACTGATAAAGAATATAGAGATTTAAAGGGTTTATAACGGTATGAACGGTTCAGTAGGGCTTTTGATGGTTCCTAAGGGTTCAGGGTTTAGAGTTTTGGCGAGAAATCGACTTCGGTGTTTTTACCCAGCCGCCAGCCGTTCCAAACCCTAAATCCTAAACCCTAAACCCTAATTTTTTAAAGATGCGTCTGCTGCTGCTAATGGGGAAGAAGACCTTGCAACTCAGCACGGGTTTAGGGTATAGGGTTTGGGGTTTGGGGTTTGGGGTCGCGATGTTGGTTCTGTGCGAGAAGGTATAGAAGACGCTGAAACAAAGGGTTTAGGGTTTAGGGTTTAAGGATTCAAATGAGTATAATAGTTCTATGAGGCAGATAATAACGCAAACCATAGCAACTCGTTTTGCTTCCGCTGGTCCTTTGAGCGCAGCAAGGAGCGGCGGTATCTATACTTCATTTTCCCTTCTTTTTCGCCGCTGCATGCGTTAGAGAAGCTAAACTATATTTCAATAAAGAAGTGGTTTTATTCTAGTGTTTAGGGTTTATGTTTTAGGGTTTAGGGTTTAGGGTTTAGGGTTTGTGTTGTCGCCGCGGGTTCGTCGGCGGTCCCCCGAGGGTAGTAGGGAGGCGCTTCGCCGCAAAGAAAGACAAAGAAAAATAGATAGAGGGAAATGCATTCGATAATAATAATCAACAACAAAACAGCAGCAACAACAGCAGCAGAAGAAGAAGAAGAAGCAAGAACAGCAGCAGAAGAAGGCAGCAACACCGAAAGCGCGAGACAGCCGGGCGACATAATAGCGGAAGCTGCTGCTGCTGCTGCTGAGCAGCAGCAGCGGCAGCTGCGGCTGCTGCTGCTGCATGAACTGCTGCAACGAAATTTTTTAGTGTGTGTTTTATTCAGCATGTTGGGGTGTCTGTACACCTGAGTTTCTTATACCCCATTTATCGGGTCGCGCCGGTCTCCATCGACTGCGCACGGGAAGGAGAGCAGCAGCAGCAGCCACAGCAGGAGCAGCAGCTACCGTTGCGGCGGCAGCAGCAGCAGTTGCTGCTGCTGCTGCTGCTGCTGCGACTGCAGCAAACAATTTTGTAGCGACTTCTTGAGACGCTGCACAGCTGCAGGACGTAACTTCCCCCTGCAGCAGACTATCGAACAGCAGCAGCAGCAGAAGCAGCAGTTGCAGCAGTAGTTGCATCAGCAAAATCAAAGTTAGTAGGGGCAGCAACAGCAGCAGCAGCAAAAATGGTGGAATCTCGGAGACCCACAAGCGGAAGGGAGGCGGCTGTGTCGGTGGTGCCTGTGCTGCACTTGAAGAAACCACTGGACAGCAGCAGCAGCAGCAGCAGCGGCGGCAGCAGCAGCAACAGTAGCAGCAGCAGTGTGGAGCATATTCATGGTTTCAAGGCAGCCGAGGTTAGCGGCAGCAAAATGGAACTGGTAAACGGCTTCTCTTCAGCCAGCAGCAGCAGCAATAGCAGCAGCAGCAATAGCAGCAGCAGCAGCAGCTGCTGCAGCACACCCAGGAGCAGCAGCACCGCCACACCCAGCAGCAGCAGCAACACACCCAACAGCAACAGGAGCGGCAGCATGACCCCCACCCAAGACAGCTATAGTCCTGTAAGAAGCAGCAGCAACACCCCAACTAACAGCAGCAGCAGCAGCAACAGCAGCAGCAGCAGCAACAGCAGCAGCAGCAGCAGCAGCAGATGGAGGGGTTCCCGTGGAGGTCTGCTGCTGCAGCAGCAAGCATCAGGCAGCAAAACAGAGACTGAACCAACGCAGCACGCGAATAGAGATTTGCTGCAGCGGCAGCAGCAACCAACACCAATCCTCAGGTTGTCTGTAGACCCTCGCACAAGAGCTGTCTCCCGCAGCCAGAACCCACAAGGTAATAAACCCTAAACCCTAAACCCTAAAACCCTAAACTCTAATCCTTTCTGAGAGTCTTTGCTTTGGCGCGGAACTGCAACAGGGGCTGCGCTCGCTATAATTGGGCTTCAGGGCTAAGGGTTTGGGGTTTAGGGTTTAGGGTTTAGGGTTTATGGTTAAGGGTTTAGGGTTTAGGGTTTTCACATTCGCAGGCCTGTCGTCCCGTTCCTCCCTTAGCCTCGCCCCAGCCCGCCTCCACCTCAGCAGCAGCAGCAGCAGCAGCAGCAGCAGCAGCAGGGTGTGCCTGCAGCACGAAGGCTATCGCGAGCAGGTGGAGACAGCAGAAAATGGTAATTTGAGGTGGGGACAAAAGGAAGCAAACGACGGAAGTTGGGTCGAAAAATGGGCTGTACAGACAGTGCAGCAGCAGCAGCAGCAGCAGCAGCAGCAGCGCGTGCTGGAGTTCGGCCAAAGCCAAGGGAGGAATTACCGCACTAATGAACGGTTAGCCTTAAACCCCAAGCCCTCGACAAACCCTAAACCCTTAGAAAACCTTAAGCTGCTATCCCTCAACCCACATGCTGCTAGCAGGATGAAGGGCTTTTGTGTCTACGGCTTAGGGTTTAGGGTTTAGGGTTTAGGGTTTCGGTGCAGGTGGATATCCCGTTGGGAGGAAACTGATCGTGGGAGACGCGTGGAGAAGGTGGTTCAGGAGCTGCAGCAGCAGGAGGAGGACGAGGAGCAGCAGCAGCAGCAGCAGCAGCAGCAGCAGCCAGTAGTGCTGCAGGAGTGGGAAGAGGAGGAGACAGAAGACAAAGAAAGCGGCATTACCAAAATAAATAAGAAGGGGACAGACACTCGAAGCGGCGAAGGGAGACGGTGGACGCTTCGCCTTCTCAAGCGCCAGCCCCCAGCAGCAGCAGCAGCAACAGCAGCAGCAGCAGCAGCAGAAGAGCCTGCGGCAAGTTCGCAGGGATCGGCGGAGGAGCTGCTTGCGGAGGCTGCTTTGCTGCCAGCAGCAGCTGCTGCAGCAGCAACAGCAGCAGCAGCAAACCTGCTGCCGGGGCAAGAGATAGAGGTATTTGAGGAGACACGCGGGGAGGAGACGAGGGGGAGACTGCAGCACAGGGAGACAGACGGCAGACTCATGTATGAAGCAACATGGAGAGAAGCAGCAGCAACGCCAGCAACAGCAGCAGCAGCAGCAGCAACAGCAGAAGCAGCAGCAGGCAGAGAGGTGCATCATGAATGTATGTGGGTAGACGAGGACGGCACAAAGAGAGGCATAAAAAAAGGAAAAGACAAAGAGTAATGCTGCTGCTGCTGTTGGTGCTGCTGCTGCTGTTGGTGCTGCTGCTGCTGTTGGTGCTGCTGCTGCTGCTGCTGTTGCTACCGCTATTGCTGCTGCGCTTGACGTTGCTGCTGATGGTGCTGTTGCTGCGGCTGCTGCACATGAGCAGTAGCAGCAAGATGTGTCTGTGGCGGCTTCGTTTTCTGGCGTTAGAATATGGAGCAGCAGCTGCTGCTGCAGCAATGCTGTGGCTGTTGCTGCTGCTGCTGCTGCTGCGCTGTGGCTGTTGCTGTTGCTGTTGCTGCTGCTTCTGCTGCTACTGCTGCGCCTATCTTTTGATTCTGCTGCAGAAAGTCCTGATAGTCTTTGCGTCTGTCTCTGTTTGTCTCTGCTAGTTTGTTTGTCTACTCCCTGTAGCAGCAGCAGCAGCTGCCGCTGCTGCTGCTTGTATTTATCTGCTTTGTTTTATTTGTTTTTGTTTGCTGCAGCGGGGCGTACTGGGAAGAAGAATGGGAAGAAGGCATCGACGGCACTCGCGTGAGCAGCAAAAGGAGACAGACAAAGCAAAGCGAGTGTAAGGAGACAGCAGGAGTAAGAAAAACAGCTAAAGGAGACAGCCAAGAGCTTGAAGAGTTCTCCAACAGGTACGCAGCCTCTAGGGTTTAGGGTTTAGGGTCTAGGGTTTAGGGGTTAGGGTTGTGGTTTGGGAAATAGGGTTTTTTGGGTTATATGGGATTCGGGCCGTGGGGTTTGGCTTTGGGGTTTAGGGTTTACTCTTCGGCCTGAGGGTTTAAGATCTACTACATTGGTTTAAGGGTTTAGGGTTTAGGGTTTAGGGTTTGCGTCGGGTGTATTGCGACAGCCCTGGATTAGTAATACGCTCAGTGGTTCTGCACATGGAGCACGGCATGGGGAGATGAGGGTTTAGGGTTTAGGGTTTAGGCAGTATGTTTTAGGTTTTAGGGTTTAGGGTTTGGCCTTTGCGGGGAAGTGCAGACTTGAAAAAGCGAGCGTTGGAGCTAGCGTTCAGGGTTTGAGGCACACGGTTTAGGGTTTGGGATTTAGGGTTTAGGGTTTAGGGTTTAGGGTTTAGGGTTTATTTTGCGTTGCTTAGAGTGGAGACAACGTTTGATGAGGGGAGGGTCGTGGAGTGTATAGACAGCTGGGCGCGCCCACTGAACGGCAGCGGCGCTGCAACGGGCAGCCAAAGGAGGGAGACGCAAACCTTTGATAAAGATAAACTTACTTCCGTCGAGGTTTGCTGCTGCTGCTGCTGCTGCTGCTGGTCGCCATGGTGCTGTTGTGTCCGGTTGCTGCTCCTGCTGCGTGCTATGCTGGGCGCTGCTGAAGCTTCAGAGCCTTGGCGGTTTTTTGCTGCTGCTGCTGTTGCTGCTACTGTTGTTGCTTTTGATCAGCCTCAGTTGCTGCAGCTGTTGCTGCTGCTGCTGCTGGTGCTGCAGTATACAGGTGGTTCTTGTTTTGCAGGGTTTAGGGTTTAGGGTTTATGAGTATGTGGTGCGTTGTTTTAGGGGTTTTCTTATCGTTTATTATTACAAAATAGGATTATTATAAATATTAATATTATTGCCAATATTATTATTATTATTATTATTATTATTATTATTATTATTATTTTGTTTGTTTTAATGCATTTTTCTGTTTATTTTAGGTGTCAAACACAATATGGAAGGACGACGGTGAAGAATACATCGCGGATAGCTGGACAGAAGAAACCCTAATTCAGCACCGCAGCAACGAGGCTGTTGCGGTACAAAAGGCAAGCAGCAGCAGCAGCAACAGCAGCAGTAGTAGTAGTAGTGGTGGTGGTAGCAGGAGCAGCACAAGCAGCAGCTGCTGCAGGGTGGCTGCTGGAGCAGCAGCAGCAGCAACTGCAACAATAACAGCACCATCTGTAGCAGCAGTAGCAGCAACACCAACAACAGCTGCTGGTGCTGCAGCACAAGCAGCAGCAAAAGCAGGAACACTAACAGCAGCACACAGTGCTTCTGCTTCTCAGCACAGAGCAGCAGCAAGTCGAAGCGAAACAGGAGCGAAACACGTGTTGTTTTAAAGTTGAGGGTTTAGGGTTTAGGGTTTAGGGTTTGAGCTGCTTTTTTAATGCAGAATCGATGGGGCAGGAAGAAGGGGAACCGCCGCTCAGACGGAATGGAGTGGGGAGAGCGCTGGGAAGAGACAGAAGGCATCCAGGACACAGCAACGCAGCAGCAGCAGCAGCAGCAGCAGCAGCAGCAGCATGAGCAGCAGTTGAGGGTCCGCATCCTTGTAGGTATTGAAAGGGCGGCATCTGCCGCTGCTGCTGCTGCTAGACTACCCCCCATTCTGATGCAGTGCTTTCTGTTAGACGGCTGCTACTGTTGCTGCTGCTGCTGTTGCTGCTGCTGCTGTTGCTTCTGCTCCTGTTGCTGCTCCTGCTGTTGCTGCCGTCAGGGTTGTTCGTAAACTGCCGCATTTGCTGCCGTTTGCTGCTGTGAAGCTGCAGCAAAAGCTGCTCATGCAATATTACGCCGTGCCTGAACGTGCTGCTGCTGCTACTGTTGCTGCTGCTGCTGCTACTGCTGCTGCAGCTGCCAGGGGGAGAAGTCTCAACGCAGCAGGTTTTGCTGCTGCAGCAGCCGCCAATGCAAACAAAACGAAGGTTTGATGATAAATGGTGGATAGAAGCCCACGGGAACTCTTGGGGTCATAAAGAGTGAAACCCGAACCCTAAACCCTCAGGAATAAACCCTAAACCCTCAGGAATAAACCCTAAACCCTCACTCAGGAATAAACCCGAAACTCTCAGAGCCAAGCCTTAAACCTCCAAAACTAAACCCTAAACCCTCAAATCCAAACCCTAAACCCACATATCCAAACTCTTACCCCTCTCAGCCAAACCCTAAACCCTCATATCCAAACCCTGAGCCCCCAAATCTAAACCTTAAACCCTCTGAACCAAACTGTAACCCCCAGATTCAAACACTAAAAGTCTAAACATTGAACCCCCCAAAGCAAACCCTAAACCCTCTGGACCAGCCCCTAGACCGTCCGATCTAAACCTCTAACCGTAAACCCTGTGAACGAAACCCTAAACCCTCGTTGTGGTGTATTGCTGCAGAGGGTTTGAAGAGGATGGATCGCAGCTGCGAGAGCATTGGTATGATAACGGCAACGAAAAGGAAGTGAACAGATGGAGAGAAATGCCCGATGGCTCCAAGGAAGGCGGGGCAACAACCCCTAAACCCTAAACCCTAAACCCTAAACCCTAAACCCTTGTAGTATCGAAAACAATAAACCTTTAAGGGCAGCCCTGAGCCCGAATAGCTATCCCTAAACCCTACTAAACCCTACACCCTAAACCCTAGTAGTATCGAGAACAATAGGGGCAGCCCTAAGCGCGAATAGCTATCCCTACACCCTACTAAACCCTAAACCCTTGCGGTATATAACCGTAAACCCTTAACGCCAACCCTACACCCTAATATCTCGCGCTAAACTCTAATGAAAGACCGTAAACCCTAGACCCTAAAAGCAAGCGGTAATTTTGCATGTATGCATGCGTTGGTCTCAGGTGCATGCGTTTGTATTTCTTTTGCTGCTGCCCTTTTCTGTATATTTCTGCTGCTGGTTGTTTCTATTTGTTTGTGTTTAATATTGGTTTACTTCATGTGCAGGAGAGAAGAGAGGGAGCAGAGGAGGAGAGACGTGGTGGTTAGACCGGTGGGGTTGTGGTGCGGGTGGTGTAGACCATTGGTCCGATAAGAGCTGGCAAGAAAAGAAAGAAGAAGAAGGAGAAGAAAAAACATTTCGGTGGGGATGTAGTAGTGGAAGCAGCAAAGAACAACAAAAAGAATGGGTTCAGCATTGGAGAGAAACAGAGCACTGGACAGGCGGCAGTAAATACGTGGAGAAGACAGAAAAACATCAAAATGGAGATCATCATACACTCAAAGAGGGACACGAATGGAAACGAACGTCAGACAACTCAAACCCTAAACCCTAAACCCTAGTCAACCCTAAACCCTAGTAAACTCTAAACCCTTGTAAACCCTAAACATTGCCACACCCGAATAAAGCCTATACTCAGATAAACCCTAGGAAATAAGAACAGGTAGAAACAAAGCACAAACACTAAACCCTAAACCCTAAACCCCTAAACCCTAAACACGTCAACTAATCAACACCCTAGTAGCAAACAAACGAAGCTGTAAGGATGCAGACGACCAACGCGCAGAAACCCTAAACCCTAAACCCTTAACCCTAAACCCTATACCCTATCAGCACAAAACTAACCCCCTAAACAGCATCACAACGAAGAGGAGACAGAAGAAGAGACAGAGAAGAAAGCAAAACCAGAAACAACACAAGTGAAGGCTGGAGACAGATAGAGAGATAGAGAGAGTGTGAGAGAGAGAAAGAAAGAGAGAGAGACAAAGAGACATCAAAGAGTAGAGATTTGCGAGTGGATGTTTGTATGGTTATCCACGAAAAAGTTAACTGAATCCGTAAAACTAAAATAAATATATTTTGTTTTTTCTTTTTCTGCTCTTAACAACAGAGAACACAGCGACAGAGATGTCACTTCCTGGTTTGATGAACGATTTGGAGCTAATCAAAACCAACAAACAAATTGGGCGGTAAAACGCGGAAAAGATGAAAACGGTGAATGGACAGAAAAGTGGAATGAAAGTCCTCACGAAAAATCGGCAGAAAAAACTGGATGGAACAAGTAACAAACCCTAATGAAAACCCTAGTCATTAACCCTAATAAACCCTATTAATTAACGCTATTAATAAACCCTAATAAACCCTAATAGACCCTATTAGTAGCCCCTGGTAAACCCTATAAATAGACCCTCATAAACCCCACTGATAAACCCTAATACACCCTATTAATAAACCCTGATAAACTCTATTAATAAACCCAAATGAACAATATTAATAAACCCTAATGATAAACCCTAGTAATAAACCCTAGCAAACCCTATTAATAAACCCAATAAGCCCTATCAATGAGCCCTAATAAGCCCTATTAATAAACTCTGATAAACCCTTTAAGTAGACCCTAATGAACCCCATTAATAAACCCTAATAAGCCCTAGTAATAAACCCTAAATTAACAATATTAGTGAACCCTTAAAAACCCTATAAATAAGCCCTAATAAACCCTATCAATAAACCCTATCAATAAAACCTAGTAAACCCTATCAATAAGTCCCAATAATAAATCCTAATAAACCCTATTAATAAATCCGATAAACCCTATTAATTAACCTTAGTGAACCCCACTGATAAGCCTTAATAGACCCAATTAATTAACCCTAATAAACCCTATTATTAATCCCCAATTAACCCTAATAAACCCTATTAATAAACCCTGTAAATAAACCCTAGTAAACCCTATCGATAAACCCTAATGAACCGTATAAATAAGCCTTACTAAACCCTATAAATAAACCCTAGTGCACTCTATAAATAAACCCGAATAAACCATATTAATATACTCTAATAAACCCCAATGAACTCAAATAAACCCTAGTAAGCCCTAATAAATCCTCATAAACCCTAAACCCTAATACCAATCATGGGCCCTTTGTAACCCTAAATCGTAATAAACAGTAAACTCTAGACCCTATTTCGCTGTAAAGCTTCATCATTCTGAACCCTAAATCTCTACAAAACCCTACTTCATCTAAACCCTAAACCCTAAACCCTTTTGTTCGCTAATATTAAGATGCGTTTTGCACAGTGTACTTCGCAAGCCCTTGGTAAACGGCTGCTGCAGCTGTACGCCCTAATTACAGAGCCCTTTCCCTCTCAGAGAGCGGAATTAGGGTTTAGGGTTTAGGGTTTAGGGTTTGTGCAGGCAAGGAGATGCATGGGAGGAGCGGTGGCGCGAGAAGTTTGAAGGAGACACCAAGACGGAGACATGGGCAGAGAAGAAGGGAAGTAATGCAAGTGTAAGCATATTTAGGGTTTTGTTTTGTTTGTTTCGTTTTTATCTATCTCTCTTTGCTGTCTCTGTTAATTAATTTGTTGATTTGGTTTCGGGCGTTTGCCTGTCTCTTCGTTTTCTCTACATTTCCTTCGCGTTGTTTGCTGTCTCCGTTCTTAGTTTATTTGTTTTGTTTTGTGTTTTTTCTGCTTTGTCTCTGCTGCTCTCCCTTCTACCCTCCTCTCTATTTCCAGTAGGGGTTTAGGGCTTAGGGTTTAGGGCTTAGGGTTTTCGTTTCTTGTTTTCATTGAGGCTTGTTCAGCGTTCGGGGTCTGCTGCATTTCTTGTTGAGGCCTTAGGATTGGTTTAGGGTTTAGTGTTTATCAGGGTTTAGTGTTTATTAGGGTTTAGGATTTATTAGGGTTTAGTTTTTACTTAGGGTTTAGGATTGATTTAGGGTTTAGGCTACATCCATTGTGTGTTGAAGTTGCATATTATTTATTTTGTATGAATTGCCAGCATGACCTTTTCGTGTAAGTTTTAGGGTTTAGGGTTTAGGGTTTAGGGTTTAGGGTTTAGGGTTTGCATGCATGTTAGGGGGAGAAATGGATGGAAACATGGGAGGAGCGTTGGGGGTACAAGACAGCTCATAAAGAGGCGACGAACAGCAGCGGGTCTCGAAGAGTGGAGCGCTGGGGTGAGATATTTAACGACGATGGCTCTGGGGAGAAGTGGGCCCAGCAGTGGGTTGAAGAATCCCCTCAAAAACAGAGTAAAGGCAAACTCTGGGGAGATCGCTGGGGGCCCCACGGCTTAGGGGGCCACCGCTGGGGAGAAGAATGGGAAGAAGGAAATTGTAGGAAATGGGCTCATGATACACCCGGAAGGCCTGAAGGATGTTAAAAACAAATATACTAATCTGCAACCATCTAGGGATGCATGGGTGTATGCATGTTTGTATGCTCGAATTTATATATAATATATATATATATATATATATATGGATTTATGTAGGTATGGATATGTATGTGTATTTATGTATATACGTATTTACGTTTGATTGTATGCATATATGTATGTTTGTTTGTGTGTACGCATATATATAATGTATATATATAATGTAAATGTATTTGTATATATGTATAAGCATATGCATGTATGGATGGATGCGTATACGTATGTATGCATGCATGCATGCATGTATTTAAGTTGGTATGGATGTTTTTATGCGAGTTTGTACGTGTTTGTGCTTGTGGAGTGTCTATGCGCAACAAAAGCTGCAAAGTGAAGGCAAAGCGGAAAGGGATTTGCTGCTGACGCTGCTGACGCTGCTGCTGCTGCTGCCGCTGCTGCTGGCTTTTTCTGTTTCGTAAAGACTTGCGAATTCGTTCATAGTGCCAGGTCCAGCCGACGATAAGAAAGGAAGATATTACTTCCGCGTTCTTGTTTTTGTTTTTATAATGATTTTCTCTTCTTTGCCTCCTCTCAGTAAAAGAAGGTTGGGGTGTCGGCGCATGCAGAATCAGCAGAAGCACCATTCAATTTGAATTTAATATGATCTACGTAGAGGACAACAGTACGAATTGTTTCAGGTGTATGTGCAGCTCGGTGTATTCGTAATCAACGTATTTCAGGTGTATGTACAGCTTGCGGTTTAGTCGTAATCCACGCATTTCAGGTGTATATACAGCTTGAGGTTTGTTCGTAACCAACGTATTGCAGGTGTATGTACAGCTCGTACTCCGTTTGTAATTCGCAATTCAGGTGTATTTCAGGTGTATGCATGCACAGAGTGTCTGGGGCTGCTGCAAGAGAGGAAGGAGAGTCTATTTGCAATTATTCTCTTTTCTTCCTCTTGTTGGAGGCTAGGGTGTTAAACAGTGGACACAAGGAAGAAATAAAAGGCCTTTATATCCTCCGAATATTCATTTTTGCGTGTTAAAATTCTTATAATTGCCTCACGTCGTTGGGGTGTACGTACAGCAGCAGAAAATTATTATTTGGAGCAATCGAAAACAGCTTTTTCTCTCTGGGGCAGTTAAACAGAACAAAGACGCATGCATTTTTTAATTGCGGAAAGGAATCGAAGAAAACGACCTAAAGCGTTTAGAGCCGTCTTTCTGTTATTACGTATGCATGCAGATAAAATTCTTATAATTGCCTCACGTCGTTGGGGTGTACGTACAGCAGCAGAAAATTATTATTTGGAGCAATCGAAAACAGCTTTTTCTCTCTGGGGCAGTTAAACAGAACAAAGACGCATGCATTTTTTAATTGCGGAAAGGAATCGAAGAAAACGACCTAAAGCGTTTAGAGCCGTCTTTCTGTTATTACGTATGCATGCAGATATATACAATTAAGTACAAATAAATTGATGCATGTATATATTCATATATATAATATATATTGCACATATATTGTATGTAATTATGCACATGCCCATACAATACAAGCAGAGGAATAATCGATGCATTTCAGATATATATATATATAGAGAGAGAGAGGGGAAT